CTTTTACTCATATTTAGTAGCCCTGTTTCTTCGTGACCATATAAACAACCAGACTTTCCTAACTGAGATGAGCGGTGTTCAGGATATCATTGCGGCCATGCGAGAAAGTAAAATCCGATGAGCAGGGCATGTTGCTCGCTTTGCCGGCAGCCGTACTGACGTTACATATTAGTGAGTGGTACCCACGAGAAAGTTAATGAAAGCGGTAAAAAGTTATAAAAATTGGTGTTTCCAGGCATCACTGCTGCAATGAGTAGCCGGTTGCTTTGTGCGCTGTTTCGGCGTTATTTGTCGTCGTCGTCATCGTCATCGATGCCGAGTGCTTGTCAGTCAGCGTGTGATATATTTGCCGCAGTTGCCCTGGTAAGGCCACCTGTAATCGCGCCACCGATGAATAAGCTGGAACAGCGCTACAGCCATGTTATGGCAGAGAGGGAAATCGAATGCTCGCTTCGGTCCGATTTCGAGCTTCGGCAGCTCAGAGACGAACGGTACGCTGTATTCATATGCAAAATTTCGGTAAGGCTCCCTCGGACTTCATACTCGTTCAAGGCGTTGTTTCTCGAGCTGGGCGAGTAGTTTTTCTTCTAGCCTGCAGCCCGCGTTGATCTGCTGTAGCGGGGCTTGTTTAGGGGATTCTAAGAGGGTTTGTTATTTGGATCGATGTTTGTGAATTATTAGAATTCAAGCATATTCAGAGATTTATCACAAACCACGAGCTGTCTTCTGGATCGAATTTATGTTAGCATTCCTAAGAATCCTTTACAGATTGCCTTTCCTGAATTTAAGGGCCAACTCTTTTGCTAAAGCATTCTGTTCCTTAGAATTCTAATTAATTAGCCCTTTGCATCACAGATGAAGGAAGTCTTTTAAAAATTCATATTCTTAACTTTCATACTGTTGTTAATCACACTTTTTGATTTAGTGTGCTTCTGGCATCTCTTTCAATCCCATCTAAAAGCTGAAGCATTCTCATATTGGCTATACTTTCCTGGGTTTCTTGTGGTGTGGTACCTTGGTGAAAAATTACCCTTTACTGTCAGGAGTTACTAAGAGACAACAAATCTACATAATAATACGTCTTGTTATTTCCACAAGTAATTTTGACTTGCCAAAACATTTATTGGGCCATTTTATGAAATATGTTGCTAATGGGAGACCGATTGCCCGGGAAAAATCAAAAATCTCTACATCGGTAGCATGAACCTGAAAACCAACACAACAAAGGGTTTATGAACCGAAACATTTCTTTTCAGTTTCCTTACCTTTTCAAATTTTACATTACTTTAACTTTTTTAATTTACTTCTTCCGATTATTGATTTCATTTCACGATGCTTTGGATCTGAAAACATTATTCTAATCCTTCCTTTTTGTTTGTTACAGATTGCTGAAAGAACGAGAACGTTTGAAAATGAGCAATGAGGAGGGTACTTTGTCCGAAGAAATAGGAATACTAGCTTCAGTGGACGAGGAAAACTGGCGCAAACAAGGAGACCGAATTCGGAAGCAGCTCGCAATTGGTGATCTTAGTAGGGTAAGTATTGACTAAGCCAGTGCCGCAAGGTTATAGTCGTCAAATCGTCCACTGGTAGATTCATAACTATGTCTAATTTTAAAATCGACTGACTCTTGACTCTATTTTGTATGAATTTTTGTTTTCTTTATTACTTTCATCATCATTATTATTGTTGTCACTGTTATTTTTATCGTTGCCGTTGTCGTTGCTTCTAATTTTCATCATCTTTGCTGTTATTGTTGTTGCCGTTGTTGTTGTCGTCTTCGTCGCTATTTTTGTTTTTGTTATCGTCGCTTGCAGGTTGTATTCCTGGTCTTTAACAAAACCAAGGAATTCGAGTTTATATACATTGGTTCATTCTGTTACAGTTTGCAAAAGCTGATAGCAGGAGCTTGCAACGAAAGATCGATGAGCCGTTAGTATTTATTGTGCGTCACAAATTTGGCCGCACTGATGGGTACGAGACGAATTGGCTTTTGCCCCAAGTGCAGCATCAAACAAGCGAAACACTGAAACAGGTATGATAACAGGAGATCTGTTACCTATGTAACTGTTGCTACGCCTTTAATAATAGAGAAAAGTGCGTGAATTGACGGAGGGGTTTTTTTTTTTCAGACTGCCGAGCGTTGCTTAAAAACAGTGATTAGCAATGAAGTGGAAGTGGAAGGCCTGAGCAATGCACCATTTTCAGTGTATTCGTATAATTATCCCTCGCGATTGAGGAAACTGCTAAAAACGCAATCACGAAGCGCCGTAGTAAGTTGTTTCTTTTTTTCTATCATTTTTTTCT